TAACACGTGAAGAAAAATTGCATCAAAAAATTTCCTCTCTCGATCGGAAAACACGTAAATCTTTTTATAATGTATTTTACTCTTGTTGGTGCACTTTACTCATGATTTTTTATCTGAATCCGGGTGCAGGGCATCATTGTTAATCGTCATGTAAAAAACAATCAAGAAAGTGTGCCCAAATTCATAACATATATTGTTTAGTGCAATAACGAACTGACGCATTTTAGTTTTTTGGTCTTCAAAGGTTAAGGATTAGGCAACCAAGTGACCTTCTAAAGCTTAGGGATTGTTTGCTTACCTCTTAATAGTTCCATTAAAAGACAACCTCTGAATTGTTAAGAGGTGAATCTTGTTTGACAAAAAAAAAAGTCTGCCTCTTAATGGTTCTAAAACCCTCTGAATGATTTTATATCCTGGATCTCCCTTAACCATTAAGAACCCTAATTTAATTGTACACAATTATCAAACAATTATATTTCATTTTGCACTATATCATGAGAGCCTCTTAATTATTTTGATCACATAATCATTCTGCACCAAACCATTCAACAATTACCAAACAGCCCCTTATAGTCATATGTGGTTTATATAACTCATAATATATAACCATTTTTAGATTGTGTAAACACATCGAAGTAAAATAATGATATTTTGTTTTTAATATAGTTATTTTCTAGAAGATTAATTCATTGTTCGATCGATACAATTCCACATAAAAGATTACCTCCTGATTAACGGGCACAAGTCGAGAAAGTGCAAAAAAGTCGCTGAGGCTAGAAGCGCAACTTGAGGTTGGCTTCTGGCTTTCGAATCTCAAGAAAATGATAGGCTCGGCTCTTATAAGCTTGGTCTCTATTGGCTTAACTTTATAGGCTTGTATATGTTCGTGTCTTGGCTCAACTTTAGGCTTAGATAAGCAGTAAATATCCGGTTCAGTTTACCTGAGTCATATCAATTTATCTTAAAATAAAGATAAAAATACTATACTTAGACAATTATCACTGAAAGTTTGCAGGATGCTAAGATTATTAGACTGAAAAGCATTAATTACACATATAAGCTTGTAGGGCTCGGTGGCTTACCAAACTTTTTAACGAATTGGCTCAAAATAAGAGCATCCGCAATGGTGAAGTCTTTAAAAGATTTCATCTGTTTGCCACTATCAGATTTTCATTAAACAAAAACCATCTTCAAATACTTACCTGCGAGAAGGACGGGTAACCCGAGTACCGAAGGGGTGTTTGGGATTGCTTATTTTAGGTGATTTTTGACTTATTTCAATCTGACACCGGTGATAAGTAAATGCTAGTGTTTGGATGAGGAAAAATAAAACTGTTTATACCGGTGCCAAACCGGTAATAAGCAGTTTTTGATAAGTTAATTCTTCATGACTTATGAAAAATTGTTTATTACCAGTTTACAATTTTAATCTTGTTTTATTAATGTTTGTTAATTATTAATCTTATTGATATAATTTAATAATCTTAATGATATAAATTTTTGTCAAAAATATTATTATAAATGATGAAAAATAAATTTTTATATGTTAAAAAATAAAATAAGTTAATAAACAATCTCAAGCACTCCCATAAGTCAATAATAAAAAAAACTGTCATTTTTGGTCATTTTACATATATAAGCAAAATTTGCAAACATTAAAAAACAACTTATCAGTTTTTTTTGCTTTTTGGTAACGCTATAAACTAATCTAAACACTTTTTAGATAACTCCGATTTGATACCAAATAAGTTAACAAACACTTAGAAAAAAAACATGAGTTGTTTTAAATAATCAATTCCAAATAGGGATGGTGATTTGGCCCGACCCGGTGGGGAACCCGGTTCACCCGACCCGGACGGGGATTCCCCGCTAAAACGGGTACCGGGGCCGGGGCCGGGGATCCCCGGTAGAGGCAAACCGGGGTTGGGGCCGGGGCCGGGTATTGTATCCCCCGACCCGCGCCGTACCCGGTAATATTGACATACAAATTATTTGGGCTACATACAACATATTTTGGTTGGGCTACAACATATCTGCATATGTGGGCTTTAACTTAGGAGCAGATTTGCAAAATGCTTGTAGACCCACAAGGCTTTAACTTAGGGATTTATTCACATGAATCACATAGACGTGAGACGACATTACGACAACCCTTCGGCCTCCTCCCTCAGTCCCTCCCTCGCCGTCCCTCGTGACCTTGCTCACTGCTCACGGACTGATTCTCACATCGACGATTCGACACTCACACAGTCACACGCCGACACAGCTCACTGCTCCCTCGTGACCTCGCTCTGTCGCTTACTGCTCCCTCTCAGTCCCTCCCTCTCCGTCCCTCGTGACCTTGTCGTGCCGACTTATCGACAAGGAGTAATCGACCCACAGGCCACATTAAAGGTAATGAATTTATACTCTCTATAACTTTTTTTCCTAAATTGCTTTTTCTAATTTTAGAATTGATGTGTGTTCTTTGATTTATTTAATGCTACTAGTTTAAACACATTATGACCCATTATGTCAACATCTGTAGATTCTGTAATCTGTATGACTGTATCACTATCACTGTATCTGTATGACAGCATCTGTGATCTGTATAAATTATAATTGAGTTGATAAGTTCATCTTGAAAAATGTTTATAAGGATTGACTTTATATAGTTATTGACTTGTTGTGTTTTAATTTGAATGTATGTCATTGTGTTGTGCCTAATTTCATATTCTTTTTTTAAGATGGAAAATTCACAAAACAAGAACATAGAAGATATTGGACGTACGGATAATACGACTTTTAATGACACAAACGAATCTGTAAGCATGCCTATGGGTTCAAATATTAGTCCCGAGACTGAAGTCAGTGAACCTGCAAACAAAAGATTGAAATCTGTTGTCTGGAATCATTTTGAAACAATATATGTCGATGGTCTTCGCCGATTTGCAAAATGCAAGTATTGCAATAAGCAGATGACCGGTAGACCTAATGATGGTACAACACATTTGAAAGATCACTTTAAGATATGTCCGAGGAGAGTTACAAAAGACATAAGGCAACATATTCTAGTTCAAGAGCAGACTGTTAAGGATGGAAAAACATCTTCGTTGAGTTCTTATAACTTTAGCGCTGAAAGCTCAAGGGATGATTTAGCTAAGGCCTCATGGCAATTGGATTTTCAGAATATGATATCTGAGGATGACATGTTTGAAAAGACCGAGTTAGATGATTACTTGTCAGAGAAATTGTTACCGCTGGATGAAGAGTTTGATATATTAACATGGTGGAAGTCCAATGGTGTCAAGTTTCCTATCATGCAGCGGATTGCAAGGGATGTGTTGACCATTCCTATTTCAACAGTAGCTTCGGAATCGGCTTTTAGCATGAGTGGAAACAAGGTAACGAAACAACGAAGTCGACTAAAATCGCAAACAATTGGGGCTTTGATGTGCAGCCAAAGTTGGCTAAGGAAAKAAATTGAAGGTAATAATTATATAAATTGTTTGTTGTAATAATTATGTAAATTGCAATTGGTATATATAATTATTCTGACTTGCATTCTTAATTCTTTTATTTCAGATCAAAAACACGGAGAACCAAAAGGATTTGATCAAACGATTGGATACGATGAAGATGTTGATTGATGAGGGGTTGCCGGATTGGAGTATGGAATTATGTGTTGCTTGAATGTTTGGAAAACACTTGTTTTAAATTTTCCATCTTCTTGGATTATTGTTAATTTTACAAATTTATTGTTTTTATTTGGTAAGACTAGATGTGATGTAATTAACTAATTATGTTGTTATGTTGATCAATGATCATGGTTAGGAAAAACTTATTAATTTTAAATTGACCGGGTGTTGACCGGGGGTTGACCGAGAGTTGACCAGGGACGGGGCCGGGGCCGGGGACTCTGTACACAAACCGGGGCCGGGGATTGCAAACCCCGCCCCGTTCCCGCCCCGTTCCCATCCCTAATTCCAAACACCCTGAATCTTTCTTTAGACTTTCTTCGATCCACTCTAGATTTTCTTTAGGGTTTTTGTTGATTATTGCTGTTCACAAATTCATGGGTTCAAATTCAAACGATGATTTGCTGCAAATTTTTGGAAACGGGTTCTTGAGGTTTCCACATTTGCCCCAAACAACAATTACTGTTACATACAGATCGGCTTGCACCCCATTTGTAAAATGCTCCACGTTTTGTTCGTTTTAAGCTCCTCCAATCTCTTTGTCCATGGCAACTTACTGTACATCGTCTAGAATCAGACTCCAAATATGCGTTTTTTGGCCGGAAAAACTCCACCAATCGGCCGGCGATCAACAGTGGCCACCGTATTTGGCCTGCAACTTCTGTATGAATAAGTTGAACAACATGTGTATAATCAACGATTCTTAACCCACCACAACTACTTGATTTCAAAGATTTTATTACACGATTTGATTACTTCATTTTGGGAAATTTGAATCATCTACAAGAACTTGCAGAGAAACTGTCTTTGGGTCTCTGCACTTCTGCAAGAACTTGTTCAAGATCAAGATCAAGATCAAGATCAAGATCAAGATCAAGATTCAGATCAAGATTGCAAGAACTTTGCCAATCATCAATCTCACTGTCCATTGCTTACTTGCAGTGAAAAGACCCAGTTTTTGTTGGTCAATTTGTTGGTTTGTTTTTGAAGAATTCATGTCCATGTTTATGGCGTGATCTTAACAACTGTTGAGAAAAAGACCACCATGTTTCTTAAATTCTCCATGGAAACTACCAAGAAGCTCTCCTGGTACCTTCATTCCTTTGGAAAAGTTTGCATAAAAATCCAAAAAGTCAATTTCCATCAATTTTACTTGAATTATTTTCCAAACCAAGTGAGGTGGTGTGTATCTTCCTGAAACAATAATCTACTCTTTTGATTTCTTGTTTTTTTCTGCAATAACTGTCTACAAATATCATCAGTTACCAATTTGGAAGCACAAATTACAAATAACCCTCTCTTTGAATCTTGAATTTTCAGCTTATGAAAGAGAAGATCAAGCTAACATCTGCATCTGCCATAACAGCAGGAGCTGTAATCCTCATGGAGCTCAGGCATGCTTGTTTAACATCAATCAAATACTTCATAATCTTGTACATGTTTGTAGAGTGGTTAATACTATTACACCAATGTTATTCTCTTTTCGTTCGACCCATTTGGTGGTCGATCTTCGCTACACAAAGAACCAACACTTGTTCTGCTGCTCGAGCTGTAACAGCTCGCGCAGCAGATACACAAGAGTTCTGCCGTGTTGGCAAGAACTCGTTAGGAGTAGATGTGAATATGATTATGGAAAGATTAGGGATGTTTTGGGATCGTGATGGTAAGGCGCAGATTATTGTCTCGGAGGATATTATAGACTTGTTTGATGAGGAGGAGCCGAGCTTGGATGAAGTGAAGGAAGCGTTTCGTGTGTTTGATAGAAACAACGACGGGTTCATAGATGCAAACGAGTTGCAATCTACTCTTCGCGAGATGGGATATTTACGGATATCAGAAAAAGATTGTAGACGGATGATTGATGGGTATGATGTCGATAAAGACGAAAGGATTAGTTTTAGGGAGTTTTTGAAGCTCATGGAAGACTGTTTATAATTGGCCTCCATTTCTTGTTACAGACTTAATTTTGTTGAAAATCATGTATCGTGTAATTGGTACAATAAGATATGATTTTGCATATTTATGGTTTTGATGTAAATATAAGCGGAGTTTGATGAGTTGTTGTTTGACAGTTGCTGAATGGTTTGGTGCAGAATGATTAACAGGCTTTCATGATATGGTGCAAAATGAAATCTAATTGTTTGGAAATTGTTTACAAGGAGATCAGTGTGCTTAATGGTTAAGGGAGGCTTAAGATACAAACGCATTCAGAGGGTTTTAGAATCATTAAGAGACAGTTTTTTTTCTTGCCAAACAAGATTATCTCTTAATGAAACTATTAAGAGGTAAACAAACAACCCCTTATAGTTTTTTAGAGGAAATTGTGCCATGGGTTCAACAAGTGCGGCAAATGGCCCCTTTTTAGTCATTCTCAGTAGAACGGTGTTACTTGTTATGCATGTGTTTTTTAATGCGTATTTTATTTAGGACGAAAAATGTGTATATACGTGTATTGTATGTTTAGGGTTGCATTCCAATAGGAATTCAAATTTGGTGGGAATTGTAGGAACCCATTGCGGCCTTTGATCTCCAGAGCGCAACCGATCAATCCGTGGCTGGATATGGAACAAACAAACAGTTCGTATAAAGTAAATAACTCACGGATATAAAGTGGTATCACCGTACATATATACACGAATGAAATATTTGTATTTACCGAAGAGAATCTAAAGAGGATTACAAAACCGTGATTCAAATTCTCAAAACTATTGAAGTTAATTCTTACTGTATGTTTCTCTAACTTTTGCTATTAACGACGGGGAACCATGTATTTTTCTAAGCAATAGAAAAAGAAACCTAATGCAAATCGAATGATAAAAAATTGGATTTTTCATTTTATCGTTGCTCATGGACGTGAAAAAAAGACGCTCATAGTCCTGAAAGACACTCAAAAGATTTTACTTCGTTAATAACCGTCTTTCACTGACATGAGGCAATCTTTCGCGGGCATGAAACAAACCTTCTCGGACAAGTACAACATTCAGTGGCACTGATGGCTTAATAGCTCATATAACATTCCGTTGTTTCGCATTTCTATTTTCAAAACTTAATAATAATAATAATAATAATAATAATAATAATAATAATAATAATAATAATAATAATAATAATAATAATAATAATAATAATAATAATATATTGACGTATAGCTTATTAAAAAAGTGCATCATGGAACGCGGACCATATCATGGCGATATCGAGCCTTAAAGCGCCACTATAAGAATAAGAGAATTAATGAAACGAAAATGGGTATTAGTCATCCACTATAATACAATTTCTAAAGTGTCACGGCGACTTTAGAAGTTATTTAGAAATTATCATTCACCAGAATCATTTCTAACCAATTTATTAAGGGACACCTCATCATAAAAAATAATAACAAAACTACAATTAAATATGTAAATAACAAAAAAAATATCGATGTGATATTAGCAATTACTAAAAACCAGTTTCCTATTATAAATCATACTCACAGCCATCATAATTTCTAATTAATAAAACTACGTGTCGCTAAGAAATTGTATAAGAAATTACTCGTAGTGAATGGAATTGAATTACTTTTTGCTTCAACTAACCCTATACAAGACATGAGAGTAAGTTGCGTTTAGTACATTGGACGAGACAAGACAGGATGGGACAAAACTCACTATCCCATATTTGGCGCAACATGGGATAGAACAAGAACTCATTGTCCCACGTTTGGCGTGACATGAGACATGGACAAAAACTGGGATAAGGTGGGACATCATGGGACAAAAGAGGTTTTTTTTTGGAACAAGATGAGACAAGAATGAGACAGAAACTAAAATATCACTAATATACCATAGTTTGATATAAAACCTTGATATAGTATTTCTTTTAATGGTCATCACCCCTAGTTTCGGCGGTAGTAGCCGCCGCCATCTCCACCTCCTTTTCCACTTCAACAACATCCTCCACCGCCTCCACAACCACCATCGTCCATCGCCACCTCTAACGTAGTCAACCATCAACCACCACCGTCCATTGCCACCATTACTACCGCCATTCGCCATCTCTAACTCCTCCTCTGCTACAACAACCTCTTTCACTACCTCCACAACCACCACCGACCACCACCATCCATTGTCACATTTACAACCACCACCACCTATTACCACCAACACTACCACCGTTGGCTACCTCCAACTCCTTCTATACCACGACAACCTCCTCCAAGACCTCCATAACCACCGTCGACCACCGACCACCGCTATCTATTGCCATATCTACAACCACTATCGACCACCGACCACCATCATCCATTGCCACTACCACCACCACCGATTGCCCATCTCCAACTCCTCTACTACAACAACCTCCTCCACGACCTCCACCATCGACCATTGTCGTCCATTGCCACCTCACCTCCACCATAATCACCACCACCACCACTATCTTCACTACATTAGCCACAACTACCTCCTCCACCATTGTCAAACCTCCACCAACACCACCATCTTCACGTTCTCTATAACTATCGTCGTCCACTAACCACCATTGTCTCTACCTCCACAATCACTGTTTGTCATCGACACTACTACCGTCAGCCACCACCACCTTCACCATAACCAAAACCACCTCCACCACTACTACTACTATCAGTTATATCAAATTTGTCATTCAAATTTGGTACCATTATATATGTATGTATTCATTTATATGAAAAATTATGTAAAAATATTTGTAAATTAAATTCTTTAATTATTTACTCTATTTGTATTAATTATAACTATTACATAATATTTAAAATCATCAAATAACTTATGGGGGTAACTTATCTAGTTATATCCCATCCAGTCGCAGTCGTATCAAACACCAGACATACACTTGTTCTGTCCCGTCCAGTCCTATCCCCTTGCCTGTCCAGTTCTTTCATGTCCAGTCTATCCAAGCATGTCTGCATACCAAACGCTACCTAAATAATGACATGTATTTATTTATTGACACTTGAAATTCGATGTTATCCAATCGAAATAATTTATTATAAAAGTGAGAGATTTGATTCATGAAAATTACTAGCATCCTTAAATTCGGAAAATTATGGATTTGGTGTATATGATTAATTTTGTGTGACTAAGGTCTCTCACTAATAGAGTTACAAAAGAAATCATTAATCATTTATTAAATTATAAAATAAAAAATAAATTGTTTTTTATATTAAAAAAATAATACACAAATCCTTCAAAAAGAAAGAAAGCAACACACAAATGGGCCAAAAATCTTCTTTTCCATTGGGCCCATTGCCATAAAAGAAATTATGAATATAACAGGCCCAGAACATGAAATGATGCCCTAGCAAAACATCACCCACACAAGCTTCCATATACATACAGCTGACTTGTATATATAATCGTCCCCCCACCCATCCCACATAAACCCTAACCCTAATTCACTTCCTCAAACCCATCTATGATCTCTGTTCAACTTCCCAAATTTCGCTGCATTCTTTCAGTTTCTTTGAAAACCATCTACGATAAAGCTCCGATCTTTTTCTTATTTTCGGTTTTTTGGTGATTTTATTTCTGTGCCTGTGATGGGTATTAAATATACTTTGAGTATTCACACCATGAAATCAACCTAATCTGAGGCACAAACATCTTCATTTTGTTCTCTATATGATTTAGATGTTTCTTGCGATGATTTATGTGTTTTATTTAGTAAATAGATTGCAAGTGATGATAAAAAGACAGGGACATCAGAACTTCAATTTTGGAGTAGGGATGACCAAGTCTATAATGGGAATCTCTCTGATGCAATTCTTATAATCTACCTACAACATTTCGTTTTTGATCTCCAAAACTGTTCGATTATTCGTCTGTTTGTTAAATTTGTTGAAATCGTTTTCAATTTCTTGTTATGCGTAGTGGGTATGAATCAATCAGTCGTTGCCTGTGATGGTTTATAAATATACTTTGAGTTCACACAATGAAACGAATTTAATCTGAGGCAACTTCATGTTTTTATCAGTAGAATAATATGGGTTGTTGATGATAGTTTGAAATTTTGGGTTAATTTTAGTTTTAGTTATTTGCAAGTGATGATAGATCAGACAGGGACATCTGTATTCCATTGGAACATGATGATTTGTCTGTGGGAATCTCTCTGATGCTCATATGTTCGTGTTCAAGTTCAGGTTCTGTATTGAGTTCAAATTCTTCTGTGAATTCCATTGATTTTCATTTGCATTAATTTGTGGACTATGAAATGGGTTGCCAATGATGTATTCCATTTGCACGTATTATCAGAATTAAAGATGATGATACTCAAATATTGTCACTACCTCTGAGGCAAACCATCATGCATTTTGTTGTTGAAATCATACATTGAATTACATGGATTTTGATCAAGTTTTCATCTTTTTATAGAATTTCTATTAGTTTCTTTGATTATATGAGCTTTTTGGTTTATGATAAATTTGGTGTGATGAAAAAGCCTGATGATTGATTCAGAAGAACGGAGATTTGAATGATAGTTTTTGTAGAAGCTTGACAGACTTGTTGGGCTCCAAAGGCATCAACATGTAAAAGCCATTCTACCTTTGAAGATGAAGGCTTGTTTTTCCAAGTCTACTACTTTATGCATTTGGTTATGGATTAAAACCCCATTTGGGTTTGCTTGTAAAAACTATTTAACAGGTTTTGGAATGTCCAAAGAAGTATTTAACAGGTTTTGGAATGTTCAAAGACTTGTTTGTTTTGTAGGATTGTCAATTGATTTAATTATAATTATTTCAAACGGAAAAGTGCATTGGGTGTAGTGATGCCTAAGGAGTTTCTAAATGAACGAATCTTTAACCAACAAAGTTTTATTAGTTTGAAGATTTATACTCAAATCTCTTTGTAATGCAGATCTCAGACCAATATTTGAACTTTAGCAAAAATTATACTAAACTCGTATATCTAAGTGGTTATCAAGACTTTCTCAAATCCTTGTGTATCACTAAAGCCGTATTTCATATCTGTCTATCTTTGAATCAATAATCTAATATTAATAACTCAAAGTAACTCAAAGTGATCGGTTTATCGATGTTGAATTAAAGTTTCGACTCAAGTGACCATACTTAAGAATTAGCAATATTGGCAATTCCCAAGTTACTGGTTTTAAATTTGGTTTACACCTACATCCAAAAAGATGATTAGCTTATAATAAAATATAATAAAATATAATAAAATTAAAGAACACGGTAGAAGTAGAGAAATAAGTATGGAATATTTGCCTTGAAATTTAACTAAAAAATAATGGTTCATATTTATAGGGGAGAAAAAGAAGAGATACATCATTTTTTATATACAACCCTGTAACACCCACGTCCGCGTGGTCAAAGACGGGAGATGCCACAATTGGAATAAAACAAACAACGTGCTATATAAAATAAAGCGGCTAATAAAATTTATCAAAAGATAATTACATAACCACAAATGGAGATAACGTGTCTCAAAATATGGTCCCATATCAAAATGTCTATATTAGTTATCAAAAGTTTAACAAACGTATGACTTAATGGGTTATCTTCAATATTGTCATCTCYRTAGCTCTCATCCCAAAATCCCTGCTAAGTCATGTACCTGCYGAGGASAADAAAATCTCGGCTGAGCTTAATGCTCAGTGAACGGATAATAATATAACTAAACAATGAATATGAGATAACAAGTTCAAAAACAATTTATAACGTCAAATGATAATCCAAAAGAAAGTCAAAATGCCCTAAAAGCATGTCAAGGGTCCGAAGACCAAACTGCATCACGAGGACGCGTTGTTCCCAAAGGATGATCAGTCCATTCAGGCACAAGTGAGGAAAGGGGTATGAGCACAACACAACAATCCTCTCCGTGGATTTAACCACATCCATAATTCAATATCCGATAACGGTTCCTAGGATCAATCCATACGCCCTCTATTCGACCGGTACATAATCAAGTCCACTTTTAAGGACTATAAAAATAAGGACGCCATGATCGTTTTAGTCACCATGGAAACATCTCAATACCGGTGTTCCAGTTATTGAGTCTATAGTAAAATGTTTTACAAATGAAGCAATAAAACAAGTCAAGTGATCAAAATGATTCATATTCCGAATAAGAATATAAGTCGTAGTTCAAAAGGAAACAAAGTTCAATAACATTTGATAAGCATAAAGGAAATTCAAAACAAATTATTTGGAATTTATCACAGATTATCCGGATTAGGAAGCCTTACGCAAATGACTATCCCCGTGTCAAGTGAGATATGAAATCCGTACCTTAACCGAATTTGACAATTAACGCACGATCAAACGGAAATTCACGATCAAGTTTGATTTGCYCGCGTGCCTAACGAATGCATAACCGGTTACTATTTACAAAACACAAAAACCGTAACATAATTATTCTAATAAATTTACTTAGGTCTTAATGTACTTGATATGAATTGAAACTCAAACGTAAAAAGTTAACCTTATTCTCTTTCGATCCAACCGTTTCTGACCCTCTTATTTCTAAGTATTTTTATCTTACTTAGAGACCAATCTAGATTATATTTTCTAAATGAAAGTTGTAGGTTAGTATCATACGAGTCTATTGCTTTTAAAATAATCTCATTTGGATCATCCATCTATTTTATATGAATTTTACAAAACTGCAAATTAATACCGAATACAGTGTAAACAGCCCCAAAAGCACACTGTTTCGAGCCACCTAGTGTCATAACTAGATTTTCGACTCTTCATAAAAGTTGTAGTATGCAGTAAGATCTTTCTGTCTGCAAAATACAAGCTTATTCCGACTTACGGTTTGTGAGTWATACACTACCAAAGTACGGGAGTTACATTGTCGGTAAAATTCGATTCCGTAATTCCCGACTAACTTTTATGATCCAACTTTCATGATTCGCTACATTTACATGCTATAAACATATTTTAATATGTTAAACAGTAAAATAAATCCAATGGTCGTTAACCTAAGCTTAATCATGCATTTTTACTCCTTCCGACATTTAACCGAACAATTGGTGTACGGTTAAACATATACCCACAATCTAACCGTATTAAAACTATAATATACCCTTTTCATATCTACATCAATATAACCAGTATTAGCATCCTAAACATCAAATATATCATAATTTTGACAATATCAATCCGTAAACTTAGATATAAACACAGTTTATAAACTAGTCTTAATAACCCTAACATAAACACCTTAATGAAACTGAATGAAATTTATACCTTTAAGAAGGGTTCGGAGAGTGGATTTCGAATATATAATTATTATTTCGATCCTTTTAGTAACTTGACGTGAAATTTAGAGAGAAGACGAGAGAATTTTAGAGAAAAAAAAGAGACGAGAGATTGAGGAGAATGAGGCGGTGATGACCGTCCTCATTCTCGTGTGTGTATATATATATATATATATATATATATATATATATATATATATATATATAGGGGCTTAATCAAATGAGAACTAAATTGTTTGTGGTAACTGTAAGAACCAATCTCAACCATATATTATAAAAATCAATGGGTAAGATTAAAAAGAATCTTAGTTAATGTATTTCTATAAATAAATTACTATCATTTAATGACATTATATGAATAAGGGCAAGATGGTCATTTTGTATTTTAATTTATTGAGCCGGATTTGAGCGCGCGCTCAAATCCGTTAATATTCTTGTTCAATTCGAATCCAAATATGGTGAAGATACTTTCTTGTATTTGAGACGGAGACGACGATTCCCTTAAGCCCTAGAGAAATCGCAAGTGCAAGTCTATACAAAAACGATGAAGGATGACGGAGGAATAGGTAGAATCGATTTCTGTTCTTCATTTTCAATATGAATAATCCCGTAACCCTTGTTTCTGTAATGTGGAATGGTACAGGAAGAAGGAGCGGTAAGTTAAAGGCGAAATCGATGTTTAAGTTCTCAAATAAAGAAAGCCAACCCATTGACCTAGACCACGACGTTGAAGATGATGTTGATATTATAGCTATCGAAGAAACAGGTATCATCTCATTACATTCCCTAACACGATTTTAGGTTTAAATCATCAGATTTAGGTTTTAGTGTTGGTGGTTGTTTGTTTTAAACACTATTGAATGATGAATATTCTGTTTTTTTAGAGAAGAATTTACCACATTTTGATAATCAATTTGTGCTACAAACAACTCAGTTCTCCCTTGAATAGGCCCCTATATATATATATATATATTTAATTATATATATATATAAAGTTTAATCGTTTGACGGTTTTAACCCTTCAAGTTTATATTATCAACTTTACGTCAAATTAGGTATAAACTCAACTTTTGACATAAAACTGGTCTGAGATACAAGTTGGTTAAGCATAGGGTACAAATATATTATGCATAATTCTACCAAAAATTTATTTAACCCAATTTGTACGAGTTAATGAAACCTGGATATAATAATCCCGCTATGCGAGCCGATTAATCCCAGGGCGATCACCTGCTTTGCAGACAGTTCAGAGTCACCGCATTTGAACTTTTGTGGCTACAAAAGAATTTTTATTTCTTTTTGGATTTGAGCATGGACCTCCTGGTCTTTTTGACTTTTGAAGCCAAGTTCAAACCAATAAGACACCATCCTTGTAAAATGACTCTTTTCTCTATTTCTGTGAAATCTTCATACTCACTTTCATGTTTTAGAAGCTCCAAGTGACGAGAAATAGAATACGTAATATTATCCAAATCTACTTATAGACCATTTTTGATAAAACCGTAGTTTTTACAACTAATGATTATTTTATTTTATATTCTATAAATTATATCGTGAGCCGCTTAAAAAATGTCCGGATCCATTTTTGTTTATAGACGTTGGTGGCCGATTCACTTGTTAATAAAATTAAAACTAACGCAATTGAAACACGAGGGTGGTGTGTGATTGGTTTGAGCTTGGCTTCAAAGGTCAAAAATACCTAGAGGTTTCAGGTTCAAATCGAAGGAGAAATAAAAATCC